GCGCTAGGCTATGTGCTACACACGCTAGTTGTGCCACTGTGTGACATTTCCACAACAACTCTTTGACATAGGACATTATCTGGATAAGGCAAGGGGCTTACTGTTTTCCTCCAGGATTATTTTCTGCCATTCTGCAGGTGACACATTCTTTTCGTTTTCTTTCATAGGAGAATGTCCTTTTTTATTTTTTATTTTTGCTTTCCCTTCTGAAGGATGGTTTTGCCAGATACAGAATTCCGAGCTGGCAGCCCTTAATGCTGGTCTGCCCCCCTCCGTCTCTCATGGTTTCTGATGAAAGATCTGAGGTCCTTGGACATGTTCCCCCCCGTATGTAATGTGCCATTTTTATGTGGCTCAAAAAGATTTTTCCCAATATGTTTTCCCTGTATTCTTCAGACTGGATAATTTCTATGAATTTATGTTCAAGTTATTGACTCTGTCTTATATTGTCTCCTTTTGCCCTGGAGCTCACCAGTGATTTAGAATTTTTAAAGGTAGTGTTTTGTTTTTTTTTCGGTTCTAAAATTTCCATTCAGCTCTGTTTTCACAGTTTCTATTTTCTCCTGAGAAACTTTTATTCACTTCAAATGCATTTGCCTTTATCTCCTGGAACAGAGTTATAGTTGGGCTTTCATGGCTTTGCATGATAATTTCAATGTCTGAATCATCTTGGGATTGGCGTCTGCTGATTTTCTTTCCCTTTGAGAATTGGTCACATTTTACTGGTTCCTTGAGTGTCAAAAAATAATTTTGGTTCATGTCCTGGATATTTAAAATATTATAATGTATAGGCTGTTGGCCCTGCTAAAATCCACTGGAGAATGTTCTGCCGTGTTTTGCTTTAGTGCGGAATCAGCCTCGTTAGGTTCAGGCTGCAGGTTCTGCCCCTCCTGTGTGGGCCGTGATTCCAAACTTACTCAGTTTTCTCAGCTTTTGTTTACTGCTCTGTGCCTGTCCTGTGTGTAGGGCGCTTAGTGGTTTGCCTGAAACTTGGGCAGTGCTTTCCATCTCACCTCAGTTTTCAAAGCCTTCGCCCGCTGCTTTGGGTCTCTGCTGAGTGTGAAGCTCACAGGAGAGGACTCCTCCCCCTCCTCCCCCCAGTCCAGGGGTCCCTCAGCTGGAAGATCACGTTTCTCTCCGAGTTTTGCTCCCAAACCACTGCAGCCACACAGCTCCACAGCCGGGATCTGCTCCTCTGGCAAAGCCACGGGAGGAAAAAGAAAAAAAGGATTCCTCCCTACACTTTCCAGCCTCTGAGGCCCCTTTTTCTACTTTCTCTGGTTGGAAAGAAAGAGTTTCTGTTGGAGTTTTGGTTGGCCATGTTGTGGTCCACAGCCCCACAGCCAGGGCCCACCCTCAGCTCACGGCCGCATGAACAGAGGGGAAGACACATAGGTCACTTCTGCAAGCTTTGTCGTCCCACCATGATCTGCCTGCTTTTGTTTACTTTTTGGAGTCTTCTGATAGAAGTTTAGTTTTTTTTAACTTTATCTGGGGGTTTTAGTTGTAATCAGTGGGAGAGACAGGCTATATCATAGGCTTACTCCATCATGCAGGTACCTGGAAGTTAATTTAGTCTGAACAAGATCACCTGGGTTGTTTTTCTGGGAACAGACTGAAGAAGGTGAGAGAAGCAGGGAGCCCAGTGAGGAGGCTGCTGCAGTGGTCCAGGCCTGAGCCACGCACTGGGGCCTCAGTGGTGGTCACGGAGGTGGGGGAAGCAGCTGGATGCTGGATGTTACCTGAAGGTTATGTCGATGGGATAAATATGGGGATGTTAGAAAAACAGAGGGGTTAGAGATGATTCTAAGATATTTATTTATTTATTTATTTATTTATTTATTTATTTATTTATTCTTAATCAACTGAATGAAGTTGCCATTATTCTGGAAGCAGCACTGATGGGGAAGAGGGTAGATGAGGCATTCGTTTTTGGACATTTATTGTGAAACGCCCCTTCGATGCACAGGTGGAGAAGTCGGTGAGCAGTCCGTGTGTACCAGCCTGTAGTTAATGGAAGGTCTGGGCTGGAGATGTAGACTCAGGTGTCACTGGCATATGGGGTGGCATTTAGAACCACGAGGCTGGGCAGAGTCACCTACGAGGTGGGATAGAGAGAGAAGAGAAGAGACCCGAGGGCTGGGTCCTGAGGAGTCCCAGTGCTGGCTTGTTGCCTGGCCCCAGAGGCTGGAAGCAATGCCGTCCAAATGGCATGTGTCAGTCGAGGGACAGTACCACACAGAAACTTGAACATGGGAAGTTCAGCATGGATAATACTGGGGGCTGGCGTCCTGAGGGAAAAAGAGCTCTAGTGAGTATAGAAATGACGCATGTAAGGAATAGCATCTAGACCTGTGATAGAAGCGCCAGAGAAAAGCCACAGCTGATATCCAGACCCCACTGGAGAGGGCACAGCCACTGCTCGCCAGCTGCTACACCAATGGAACTTGCTGGAAACCTTCCATCCAGACTTAAACCAGAATGTACCCTTTCGGGTGCTGGGAAAAGCTTATCCCAAGGGGGGATCTTCCTGGAGGCACTTTGCTATGCAATTGCCCCATGAGAGTGTTGGGGCAGCTCCTGGCTACTGCTGCTGCTGTGCAGCCTGGGCCCGAGGTGGAGGCACCGTTTGCACTGCAGGCATCTCCGCTGGGGAGACTGCCGAGAGAGTGCAATGGAAGCAAATCTCCACTTTGCAGTGTGTCTGCAATGTTTATGGACAAGGCTTAATGTCATGCCACCTGGCAAAGGGAAACTTCTAAAGGGGTCAGATCCACTTTCATAGAGTGGGCAATAAGGGTGAATTTGGAGCTGGGGCAAATTGATAACTGGCACAGGGTGAATGTGGGTCTGGCTGAGGAGAGGCAGCAAGGTCAGATGGGGGCAACCTTGGTGTTGCTGTCACCTGAGAGGTGTGTGCGACTTTGCACAGGGGAGATGAAGTGGGAAGTCAGGAGACCCTGGAAGCAGGAGGGCAGGTGGCTGGTGAGTCCCAGGTCAGGCAGACCTTAGGTTGTGAGCAGAAAAACCTGTAAGTTGTCCGGTTGCTGGATGAAATCTGAGCAAGGCAACATGTATAAAGGTGTAAGATGAGCTTCCTGCTCTCTAAGGAGGACCCTGGAGGTGAGGTAGAGCAGCACGCAGTCCCTGCCAGGAGATACGTGGCCAGTGGGGCTCTGTCCAGGGCACTGGTCACGATTGCACCTTGGCTGACCCCTGCCCCTGCCTGCGCTATGGTCGTACTCAACCCCAGGCAGGTCCCTGAACTGAGCACGCTCTCTCCAACCTCTTGGTTCGCACACACGCTGTTGCCTCTGCTTGGGACAATTCACCCTTCTTAGCATGGCTGACTCATCGTCCTTCACATCTCTGCTGGGACACCACATCCTCCTGGAAGCATTTAATGATGCCCCAGCCTGGGTGGGCCTCTCCTCTGTGCCCTGCAGCGTTGACATTAGCCTTAACACAGCGTGTAGCATATCGAGTCCCAATTGCTTGTTTGCCTGTCCATCTATCAAGCAGGACTGTAAGCTCTTTGAGGACAAGGACCAAGTCTTGTTTTCTGCTACTTTCCCAGCATCAGGCCTGGCGTGTAGCAAGCACTGACCAAATGCTGATTGAACAAATAAAGGATGATAGGCCAAACATGGGGCACATGGGAAGTGGGGATGGCAGGGAGTGTGTGAGCACGTCACTCGGGGTTTATATGCCATGGTAAGAAGTTTGAGCTACTTTGGAAGGGAATGGGGAGCCACCAAGGGCTGTAAGTACAGTCAGTTTTCTCTGTGAGAAAGACCTGTATAGCAGCATCATGGTGAATGAGCTGGTTGAGGACAAGAGTGGGGACAGGAAACTCAGGAGATCCCTGCAGGGATCCCAGAGGACACCTGAGTGTGGGGGGGATCCAGGGAAGATGGATGGGCACCCCTTGGTCAGAAGGACACCAGTGGGCCGCGGGGCAATGCCTGGAGAGAAGTGGGCTGCTCGACACTTGTGTTCAGAGCCTTCGCTGTATGTCTCTCTCCCTCACTGAACTGTGAGCCCTGCCTGGGAAGGACCTGAGCCCTCTTTTCTCAGCACCTACCCTGTGCCCAGGATACCAGCTTCTGCCCTTGGCAAGCCCTCAGGATGGGTCTAGGAGGCCAAAACCCCCCTCCCCAGCATCAAGAAGGAGAGGCCAGTGTCCTAGCGATGTTAGCGTGGCAAGTTTATTGAAAACCAAGGAACACAAAGAGCAGTACAAACAGGTACCCCACCCGACTCCAGGCCTCCCTGGAGCTCACAGACATAAACCCTCCTGCAGTGGACAAGGCTGGGCCTCCCCCGCCAACAGGTATGCAGGGTGTAGCAGAGCCCACCTCTCCACGAGCACCCAACCCCCCTCATGAGCTCACATGCCGTGGAGTTAAACCAACAACCCAGGAAAAGAAGCAGCCAGGGCATAGGCCCCTTGGAGAAGAACCATCTCGGGGTACTAAGGGATCCCTTGGGCCACCAAGAACTGTGGATCCTTCTGGGTCAGGAGAAGAAAGGAAAAAGCCTTCTTCTGCCAGGGAAAGGAAGGGGAAAGAAGCCAAGGGTGGCGGGCCAAGGACACCTGCAGGTGGACAGTCAACTTCGCATTCTCTGAATGAATCCAAAGCTGGGATGGCGATGATGCCCAAAGACATTCTTTTGGGGCTTTGGGCCACTGCTTTTCTTCCCAGACACAGATTTTCGTAATCGTATTGAATCTGCATTTCTTGAGCGTGTTCAGCTGGATGGTGAGTATTGATCCAATGGAAGGAAATTGGGAGTCAGGCAGAGACCAATCTGGTTGGGGCTGCGGATGGACCGCCTGGGTAGTGAAAAATATCCCCCCCTGCATCAGGCCAGGCAGAGCTGTCACCTCCTTGGGGAAGAGGTAGCCCCTCCCACCCCAAGTCCAGACGCCTTGGGGATGGAAGCAGGAGACTCTGAGGTGGTTCTTCCGGGGGCAGTGGCCGGCTGGCACTGGATTCTCAGTACTTGGACTGGCGGCAGGTGGTGGTGGACACGAAGCGGACGCTGGAACCTCGGATGCTGCGGCCCCCACTGCAGCTACTAAAGCCACCCTCGGCGGGCAGCGGGCAGGGGACGCTGGGGGTGCAGGCCCCCCCCAGGAGCACTGAGCCGGAGCCTGCCCGGGAGCCTGTGTTCAGCAGGTTCCCGCCGCCCATGACAACCTGGGTGCCACCCAGGCTGGAGCCACACAGGCCGCCAGAAGACATGCTGCCGCTGGAGAAGGCGACTCCGCTGCGGGAGAGGGTGGAGCTGGTGGCCAGGAGCTCAGGTCCACACACCGTGCCACCGCGGGAGCTGCTCACGGCTGCAGGGGGAAGAAACATCAGCGAGGCTGCCAAGTCCTTCTGTGGGGTGGGGGCCAGGGCTGGTGGCATCAGGGAAGTGGCGTGGGTGGAAGGGGCCCCTATTATCCACATAGTCAGTACCCACTGTTCCCTCCTCTTGTCTAGGTGACTCAGGGGCTGTGACTCTCGTAGAGTCAAACATTCAGAGTGAAGTGGAAGATTCGGTCAGTTCTCCAGATGTGTGCACATGGCCACAGGTTGATTCTCCTTTGTATTTGGCCAGAGTCGGGCTGGGTTTTGTTGGGAGGACAGTGCACTGCATTATGAGATGGAGCAGTAGCCTTCATAAAGCCACGAGGCTCCTGTCTCTCAGTTATATCCTGCCCCACAGTTGTCCCCGTATGGCCTCTCTCATGAGTCACTTGTCAGTTCTCTTCTGACCCACTGGTGGCCCTACTTATAGCCCTTTGGTTTCCACTGGCACACCTCAGTGTCCCAGGACCCTGATCTGATGAACGTTTGCTTAGGCCAGCCCTCAACTATGGGGCACCCCTCCTCTCGCCTCTTCTCTTATTGGAATCCTCCCTGGCCTCCACTCAAGGATAACCTCCTGCGGAAAGCCATTCCGCACTAGCCCCGCCCTTCGAGGGCGCTGTCATCCAGCCCTTGCGCTCTGATGGACTGACCCACCCGGGGAGCACTCGGTTCTACCATGCAGCAGTGTGTGTGCTTTTGGAGTCAGAAATCTGGGTTTGAATTCTGGTTGTGCCACTGGCTGTGTGACTTCTGGCAAATCCTGTATTATCCCTGAGTGAGGGAGAGGAGGTTGCCTGTGTGTATTCCTCCCCCCAGGGTTCCTCTGAGGAGTGGGCTGATAGTGGGCAGGACTCATCTTCTCAGGAAGATTATAACTCTAGAGGGCAGGGGCGGGGGATCACCCTCTTTGTGCCCCACCCTGCAGTGCCAGGCATGGTGCCCTGCATGCTCCGGGCACAGCCCAGACTTTAGTGGAAGCAGCAGGGGACTTCCATTCAGCCTTGTCCCATATCCTGCCATCAGGAAGGTAGGGCGCTCCCTGGCAGAGGCCCTTTCATTCCTCTCTCTGACTTTTGTCCCTAAAGGACAAAGTCACTCAAAATGAAAGGGCTGCTGTTCTTCTGGAACCCTGTCCCACCTATGAGGTCCTGCAAACCTCGGCAGTTGCTACTCTGGGGAAGGCAGGCCCTGGAGAGATCTCAGACCTCTGGTAAGGGGTGCTCCCAGGCCAGGGGCCACATAGTCCCTGCTGCCCTGACCATCCTGGCCAGCCCAGCCATGGGCTCCTGACCCCAATGTGGGCCTGAGTTTAAAGGAAATTTGAAGGGACCCAGGAGAGAAATGTGAAGAGAGAAAGACTTTAAGTTTCTTACATATGTTTACTGGTCCAACACCTTCGCAGATCCTGGAGTGAGAAAGAAAGAAGTCAGTTAAAAAGTAGTGTCGTTCCCTGAAAACTGGCTTGCTCTCAGAAGGGCTTTCTTGGCTGAGCAGACCAGTGGACCTGTGGTTTTCACCCCTAACTGTACAAGCATCCGGAGCTTTGAAAAAACAGTGTGTTCTTAAGCCCCATCCCAAGACCAGTTAGCAAGCTAACCAAATCCAACAAAACTCCCCTATTTCTGGTATAGCCTGTCTACGAACTTGCATTAAGACTCACAGATTTAGTCATCTTCTAATCCCCTGCCAGGGTCAACCTGACTAATGTTTGCAGAAAAGGCTCTCATACTTCCAGAGTTTGATTATGTCAGCAGTTCTTCACCTGCCCCCTGCCCCTACTTAGTCCGGATGCCCAGGTCTGACCTCACCCCCTCCCGGTGCACTGAGACCGCTCACCGGATCTCCTCGCCCTCCAGCAGGCGCCTGTAGGTGGCGATCTCGATGTCCAGGCCCAGCTTGACATTCATCAGCTCCTGGTACTCGCGCAGCTGCCTTGCCATGTCCTGCTTGGCCTGCTGCAGGGCACCCTCCAGCTCGGCCAGCTTGCATTTGGCATCCTTGAGGGCTGCCTCACCCTGCTGTTCTGCCTCTGCCACCGCGGCCTCCAGCTTGGCTCGCTGCAGGGAGGGCAGTTTGTGTGGGTTTGGGCAGAGACTAGGGGATCCCCATGTGGGGCTAGAAACACTGCTCCCTGTTAGTGGGGACACAGCCTGGTGCCAAGTCAGGGATGGAGCTTTCTTAGGGACTGTGATCTCGCAGTTTGATGTCACCAGGGACGGATGAAGTGCTCCTTTTCTTCAGTTCCCATTCCCACTGACTTTGCACTTCCTGCCATCTGCTGCTCCAAGGCCATGAGGTTCAGAGGGTAAAGCTATTCTTTCTCCTTTACCTTCACCCCCCCCCAGATTAGGTCCCACCCTTTCTTCTATATGGTAGACCCTCCTTTCCTCTCACATTTTCCTTCTCCAGGAAGTCTTCCTGGACTAATCACTTCATTTCTGGGTCCTAGTGGTCTCTCCCATGTCATCGGACTTGCATATCCTCAAATCTCAGAGCCCTGCCTTCCTCCCTCTGGGGCTTTCTCAGCTTTCCGTTGCCCACCTGAGCCTTGGCGTGCTCGATCTCTGCCTTCAGCCTCTGGATCAGGCGGGTCAGCTCACTGATCTCATTCCGTGTGTTGCGCAGGTTGTCACAGTGTTGGCCAGCTGTCACCTGCATCTCCTCATACTGTGTGTGTGGGGGGCACAGTGGTGGGGAGAAAGGGATGTTCTGAGGGCTCAAAGGTTGGGTCAAGACCACAGCTTCGACTGAGCTGGAAGTCTCAGACCTCCATGGGGCCCACTTCATTGTACATGAGTCTCACCGCAGGGTTGCCTACCTCCCTTCTTCAGCCCCCCTCTGCCCACCTTGGTCTGGTACCAGGCCTCAGCATCAGCCCGACTGCGCCTGGCAACCTCTTCATACTGGGCCTTGATTTCGCAGATGATTCCATCCAAGTCCAGGTTCCGGCTATTGTCCATCTTCACGATGACCGATGTCTCTGAAATATGTGACTGCAGCAACTCAATTTCCTGTGTTGAAGGATTGGTAAGATAGACAGATTCAGTCCCATTAGTGGCCAGGATGTTGCCTCAGGTCCCCAGGATGTGGTGGCAGGAGCAGAGAGCATTGCTTATTAGTTCAGAGCAAAGCAGTGGAGCAGGGCATCCAAAACAAGGGGAAAAAAACACGACTGAGAACCATTTACATCTGACTGTAAACTCTTACATGTACTTGGAGATATCCCTCTAGGGCCCTAACTTGCTTTGGTGAATATCAAGACCATGGAGGCCGAGGTTTTAGGTAAAGAGGAGTGACAGCCATGCTGGGACTCAAACTTTTCTTTGCATGAAGTGGCTGTGCCATTCATGGACTGTTGAGAACCAACACTAATTTAGACCATGTTAGTCTAGGAATTTTTATATCCCAAGTCCTTAATAGAACCAAGGAGCATGGAACTGGCCTGCAAGGTAGAGGCTGCAAAGGGAGCTTTCTTTAGCATTTCCCCTCAGAGCCAGAGGTTCAGCTCTGGCTGGATCTATACCAGACCAAACAGATCACCTATGAAGCAAAAGAGAGCTGGTTCATTGGACTAATTAAGTCAAACACAATTTTTCTTACATCTTCTAGCAAATCAATTTTCCAGAGTCCTTTGATCAATAGATAGGAAGTGACATTCCTAGACCCCAACATTTGGATTGGTCAACAAGAGTTTAGGTCATAGATCCAAGGAGTTTATTCATAGACTTAAGTCAGGCTGCTGAGAAGCCTTGCTTACCTTTCCTTCTCCACTGGTAGATATATCACAGATAGAGGATACAGATTGCAGTGGGAGGAGAGATGAATGGCAGCATGTGTTAGAAAATATGCCAGTCCAGGCGAAGCCCCCAAGGAGTCTAGGTTAATCACTGATCTTACATGGCTCAGAGAGGATGGGCCCTTACCGCCATGTACAGGGTTTTCAGGAAATCAATTTCCTGAGCTAGGGTGTTCACGTTGGTCTCTAGATCAGATTTCTTTAAGAAGGCTGTATCCACATCCTGCATAAAAGAGAGAAGGATAAGATGCTCACTACTTGTGCACTGTTTAGCCTCCCCACCTTGGCAGAGTCTGGGGATGGGTGGGAAGATCAGATCAATCCCCACAGGCTCAGGCCAAGCCATGGGATGGGTGGTAAAGTCACTGGGTAGAAATGCAGCATAGTGACTGTCCTGCTTCCCCTGCTGCAGCATAAAAACTCCCCTGGGGCTGCTGGAACTTTCCCGATGCTTATTTAAAGGCAAGGAGAATCTGGATAATCCAAGACTCTTAAAAGGACATCTAAATAATCTAACTAATTTTAAATAGTCTGAGACAAATTAGAACTTCAAAGGGAAGCCTGTGTGACCTTAAGGATTCTGCTCTGAGTGGTCTGACACACCACAGGGCCACCTGACCATTTTCATGGGGTATTTCAAGAACCTTTGCTTGTCCAAAGGAGAAGTTTGCCTGGGCTTATTGCTCTCCCTTACCTTCTTCAGAGCCACAAACTCATTCTCAGCGTTGGCCCGGAATCCCACCTCCTCCTCGTACCTGGATTATAAGAATTAAGAGGATGGGTTCTCATTCTGAACTGAGAGCCAGTGACTTCCAACTCCCCAGTGAGCATCTTAAGACCTCTTTGCCCCACCCAGGAGCATAGCTTCCTGTTGACACCTACATGTTCTCAGCCACTCTGTCCCTTCTTTAAGACCTTATATGAACCAGTAGCCCTTAATTTCTCCAACCCCCTTATACTTTCTCATATAGAACGTGGACCTGAAAATCAAGTCCATTACCATGCTCCTTTGCTAGAAAAGATTTAAGGTCACTGACAATGACCATAGAGTAAATAGGACCCAACTTGTTGAACCTGGGCACTATTCTCAAAACCAGAGAATGCTCCTTTCTCTGGGGCTAACTCACCTATCCCCACAGTCAGAATTAGGAAAAAAACCATGCCAGTTCTAAGTCTTCTTTTCCCTCAGGACCCACAAAGGGCCTGCTCCAAATCCCTTACATATCACTGCCCCCCTCCTCTGTGTCCAGGCTGGGTGTTGAAACCCACATTCAACCCTGGTTCTTCCAGCTGCTCTCATCTGAACTTGGCTGCCACTTCAGGGATTGGGACCTGTCCATCCTTAGTCAGTGCAGTCCAGATGCCACTCACTTTTTCTTGAAACCCTCAAGGACATCCTGCATGTTGTTCCTCTCAGCCTCTAGACGAGCCCGGTCACTGTTGGCTACATCCAGCTGCCTCTTCAGGTTGGTGATGTAGTTCTCAAAGAGGGGCTCCAGGTTGCTCCTGGCACATTTCTGCTCTTGGAGGAAGTTCCACTTGGTCTCTAGAAGCTTATTCTGCTGTTCCAGGAACCGCACCTACAACCGCAGAGGCACAGAAAGGGCAATTGAAGTGCTTGACAGAGTCACCTGCCCGTCCACTGGCTCTTCAGATGGCCAGACTCTCAACACTGTGGTGACATTGTTCTCTCCTCCATTGACTTTCATTCCTCCTCTAATTTGGTAGGACCTGGAAGAGCAGGTCTCTGATGCCCTCCTTATGCTCTGCCAGGCTCAGCTACAAACAGAGGCTTTTGAAACAAAGCACCTCAGGACTATTTCTCTTTCTACCCTCTGAGAAAGGTGTAAGCCAGTGTACCTGGAAGTTTGAAAGATTGATTCTGCCTGAGCTCGGTTTGTCTATTTGTGAAAACTGATGTCAGACATCCCTGACAGGAAATGAGGAGCAAATTAAAGTACATCCAGGGTGGGGTATGGCATTAGGAGGTGGGTCATACTGACCATCCCAGATATTGCATCTGCTGAGACTTACAGGGCTAGAGGAGAACATAGAGATCACTTGCTCCAACTCATCATTTTAGAGGAGGAAACTGAAGCTCACAGACATGACACTCAGGCACAATCAGAGCATTCTCACTCCATGGAGACCTAGTTTGTGGGATGTCAGTTCCACATCACCCTTCCTCTCATCAGCCTGAAGATCAGTGACTACCCATGGTTGTTACCCACTAGTTCTCTCAATCTAGGTACCTAGGTTGAATCTGGATAACCCCCATGGAGGTATGGGTTCTTTGTTTTGTATTCCATTCTCCAATCTCCTAAGCCTGGGCAGATGTGGCCACCCAGCCTCAGGAACTATGAAAACTTCAAAGATGTCATGGAGGACTCAAAGGATAAAACCTTTTAAACCTACAACAGCTGGCACTTGGCTGAAGTCCTAGTGTTTCCAGCCTGTTTAGGAGATAGTTCTAAGTGACTAAGTAGTAGGTCTTAGTTTGTCCAGATGCTCTCAGACTTGACTGGATGTTCCTTTTTCCTCCTGAAGATACAACCTCGGTGTTAGTCTACCCCATCATGCAGCGTTCCTCAAGCTTGTCCTTGCTCTGCAGCAGAATGACCTGGAAATCATACTGCAATGCCTTTGGTTGACACCTGAAGGATCTAGGGGTCAAGTTTGATGCCCTAGACTGGGGCCATTTCTTCTTAAGGAAAATATCAACCCAATGCATGTTAGCTCTCATGATCCCAGACCCAAATATTGAGCTGTACCTTGTCAATGAAGGAGGCAAATTTGTTGTTGAGGGTCTTGATTTGCTCCTTCTCATCCCTCTTCACCCTCTGCGCATTGGGGTCAATCTCCAGGTTGAGAGGGGTTAGTAGGCTCTGGTTAACTGTCACTGCTGTGATAGATGGGCCTGCTGGGACTCCAAGTCCTCCAACTCTGTAGCCAAAGCCAGGGCCACCAAAGCCATAGCCAAGGCAGCTGCTTGCTCCAAAGCCCAGACCAACACCACTGCCAGCCCCAAACCCTAGGCTAGCACCATACCCATTACTATAGCCAAAGGCCCGTCCACTACCAGCACCAAAGCCAACTCCACAGCGAATGGGACGAGGGCCTCCAGCTGCTATCCTGGGTGAGCATGATCCATAGGTGATGACACTCCGACTACCAAAGCCTCCAGAGCCTCGGAAGCTGGACCCACTCCTGCAGGAGACAGAGCTGGCCTGGAAGCGGTTCAGGTTCTGGGGAACCACTGCTGAGCAAGAGCTGAAATTGCCTGCATGGCGACTAGAGCTGGCTCGGTAGGAGCGGCACGACATGATGGTTTCCTGGGTGAGAGCAGAGCAGTGATTGCAGAGTGTGCGGAGTGCTGGAGCTAGGAGTCCCTCTGAGGCTAGAGGATGCCTCTCACCCCTTTTATGTGTGTGGGGATGTGAGGATTGGCCCCATAAAAATGGAAAAGGCCATTTGGATGCATTTATGAGCTTGGGTAGTTAGCAGAAACTCTTCATGCCTATAACCTTCTTAAAATGAGCTAATCAGACACACCTATTCTCCTTAGGATGAGAGTTATAACATCAAACCTACAAACATTAAAAATGCATAAACACATAAACATTATGGCCCTATTTTCCCCCACAAGTCCACCACAATTGCCATTATGGGAACATTAATTTGTTTCAGTCATAAATCCAATAGACTTTTTCACTGCAAGTGTGGCTAACCACCAGAAAGTTAGGATGGTAATAGCTCTACGAAGAGGCTCACAAGGGATACATCTATATAGACATAAGCCCCCAAAGAGATGGGGTGTGCAGAAGAGAGATGGGATCTGCAGAGCTCTTATCAAGAAATAATATGGTGAGAATACAGTTTATCGCATCTCTGTAGATGAATTCAGGGGTATCCAACCTTTCGGAGTCTCTGGGCCACACTGGAAGAGAAGAGTTGTCTTGGGCCCACATGTTAAATACATTGCAATGTGTAATCACAAAAAAATCTCATAATGTTTTAAGTAAGTTTACAGTTTTGTGTTGGGCCACACTCATACCCATCCTGGACCACATGTGCCCAATGGGCTGCAGGTTGGACACCCCTGAATAGTCCAGAAACCTTTTGCAGTATTTTATCTATCCTCTATGATCTTATTTGGCTGTTTACCTAGGAGTTTAATCTTTGGTAAAGCTCATTTGCAGTAGTATAGACACATGCCTAATTTGAGACACTCAAAGGAGATTCATTCATTCATTCATTCACTCATTCATTCAACAGTGATCAGGTGCCTACGCTGTCTCAGGTACTGTGCTTGGTGCTGAAAGTACAGAAATAAAAAAGATGGTCTCTGCCCTCATGATGGTGGGGGAAGATTAATCTCGAGGACTTCAACCAGTCAATACTTTTGTCATATAATTTGAGGCCAAAGCACACCAATAATTTGGCCATTTCTCTGTGTGAAAAATTAGCCACGTGATTTTGAGGCCCTCTCCCTACTACACATGAGGGCTCATCTCTAGCTCTGTCTGAGCAGATCGCTTACATTATTGATGAATCTTTGGTTAGGATAGAGAGATACAAAGCAATAAGCATCAAGATAGAAAAATAAAAAGTTCTAAGCCGCTGGATGTTGTTATCATTTTTTATCAATGTTGCAGATACTTCAGGACCCAGAGGCAGGTGTTTGCCTTTTCTATTCTAGTGGGTGACATAGTTTGTCTTACCTGCCTCATGCCTTGGGGAGCTTATGCTTAACTGCACACTGGAATTTTGGGGGGAATGCTTGGGATTATGCTTGGAAGAGAATATGTGCTTTTGACTGGAGCTCCTTTCTTCCTTCCCCATTGCTACACCTCTTTTTTCCTTATTGCTTTAGCTACAACTTGAGTATGATGTTGAAAAGCAGTGGTGAAAGGGGACATCTTTGCCATATTTCTAATTTTAGTAGAAAAACTTCAAGTTTCTTATTATTAAGCATGATGTTAGCTATAGGTTTTTTGGTAGATATTCTTTGTCAAGTTGAGGAAGTGTCCCTCTATTCCTAGTTTACTACTATTTTTCATAAACCCAGTTGTCAGGTATATATCTAATGAAAGAACAAGCAGAAAAATAATAACAAGAGAATATTTCTTGTGAAGATTACTAGTGATCTTCCTGTTGCTAAAATCAGGCCCTGTTCTCAGTTCTCATTTAACTTGACCTAGCAGCAGTATTTGACATCGCTGGTCATTCCCTTTTTCTTGAAATACTTTCTTCTTTTGGTTTCCAGACATTATACTCTTCCGATTTTCTTGTCACATTACTGGCTGCTTCTTTTTACTTTTCTTAGCAGTTTCTCTTCATATCTCCAACCTCTAGACACTGCAGCACTCTTGGACTCAGCCCTTATGCCTTTTCTCATCTCTCTGTATATTCATTCCTTTGCTGAGGTCATACAGCTTCATAACTTTCAATACTATCTATTCACTGATGATTGCCAAGGGCCTATCTATCTTTATCCTGGACTCCCCTCTGCACCAAACATGTATACTTAAAAAAATCTCACCCAAGGATATGTTTATTGATTTTAGAAAGAGAGGAAGGGAGAGAGAGAGAAAGAGAGAGACAGAGAAACACTGATGTGAGAAACATTGATCAGTTGCCTCCCATGTGTGCCCCAACTGGGGATCAAACCCCAAACTTTTTCGCGTATGGAATAATACTTCAACCAACTGAGCCACTTGGCCAGGACTCCACATGTATACTTTGACCAATGTCTCTATTTGGATATCAGACAAGCATGTCAACCTTAATATATCAGAAACCGTTCTCCCACTCTAAATACGTTCCACTTGTCAGGCTCACTACCCTTGCAGTAGCTCAGGCCAAAACTCTGAGAGCCAGCCTTTATTCTTCTGTTTTCTCCATATCCTACATTCAGTCCATCGGCAAATCATACCTTCTTAATGTATCTGCTACTGCTCTTCACCACCCCAAGTGGTACCACCAGGTGGGCCCAAGCTCAGCACTTCCCACAGGGACCACTGGTGTATCCTCCAGCTTCTCCCCTGTGTCCTCTTTTGCCTCATTCAGTCTTCTTTTAACACCATGGTCAGTCACCCATTAAAAACATGTCAGATCATGACATTTCTATGCTCAAACCCCTTAAACGGCTTTATATCCTACTCAGAGTAAATGCCATACACAGTCTCCTCTTCCCTTTCACCATCCTCATCACCCTCAGCCACCCTGGCCTCCCAGTTGTCCATCAGACAGGCAGGAAAACCCCTGCTGTACACAATTTCCCGCTTGCTCTTTTCTCTGTGGGGAGCACTTTGTCCTCAAATAGCTACATGGCTGCATCCCTCAGCTCTTCCAGGTCTCTGACCACAGGTCACCCCTATTTAAACCTCTCCCCCATGTACTGGCTATCTCCCCTTCATGGCCCCTTCTCTCCTTAGCAGTCCTCACCACTGAGGCCCAATCCCGAATGGATTTGCTGGCTTGTAGGCTGCCATCTCTTGCTGGAATAAAGCTCCGGGAGGCAGGCACTGTTGTGTGTTTTGCTCCCCTCTGTGTTTCCAGTGTGCAGTAGAGTAGGGCATATGGTACGCATGTTACATGGCTTTGTTGAATGAATGGATACACCACAGAGATTAAAAACAGGAGGGAAAGTGGGAGACAGGAGCAGGTTGTACCAGGAAGAGGAATTTAGGTATTTGGTGGTGCAGAAACTCAGATGCTCACAGGGAAACCAAGCCAGTGTGCCCTCCAGCTCCAGCTTCTGGGGGCTTGAATGGGAAAGGTCATGGAGGTGCTTTGTAGGAAAGGGCATTCCCCTCTTCTGAGGCCAAGCAAGGGGATCCAGGAGAGAGGGGAGGGGACCAGAGGACCCCTATGGAGGTGAAAGGGAGAGGGGAGCTGGAGGGATGGGCATAGAGAACAGCAGCTAGCGTGCCAGGCCCAGGACAGAAGACTTGACCTAGCCCTTGGAGTTATAGATGGACCTGGATTCATTCCCCTTGTTGCCGCCTGACAGCAGTGTGACCTCAGACGGCATGCACGGAGGGCAGGGTGGTGGCGGGGTTCTTTTCTGGGTAGTAGGCAATAAAGCGAGCTCGTCTGTAGAGAACTTAAAAAGCAATAATATAACCAACTAAACGTTGATCAGCTTTTATTGTCACTGTGCACCGCTAGTCTGTGAATACTCTCTCTCTCTGGTATACAAGTGACCTGGGGAGAATTGTTTAACTTCTCTGTAAAATGGAATGGTCCTTGCTTCCCAGCACTGCGAGGATGAATGTGAAGGGGATAGGGTGTACACTGTGGTTGTTGTCATCCATTTTCCCCTGCTGTCTTTCCTTCCTCCCTCCGTCGTTTTCCTCTGCCCATTCTCCTCTGTCTTACACAATCCTCCCTTCGCTTCTCTTGTAAGTAATCATCCCTGGTCCGGTCCAGCACTCCACCCCCTTCCCGCTCTAGCAGGTGTTCATTGCCTCATCAGCCATTCCTGGGACCGTCCCCTGTCTGGGCTCAGCTTCCTTCAACCCTGACCAGGCTGGGTGGGGTGGGGGTAATTGGGACCAGGCAAGCATAACCCCAGTTCTGGGATGAGCTGACACCATCAGCAGTTTATAGTTCTGAGGCATAATTTCGTCAGATGATGCATAACACCACCCTCAGTCATTTTTAGGGGGTGGCAGGTGGGGAGAGGGGGAGGAGTCGCCCTCGAAACTCCAGGCTGAAGGTTTTGCTACCCTGACAGTTTCTTCTTCCTGCTGTCAGTCAGCCTGAATGCAATCCTCAGATATGCTGGGAGAGTCTCCTGCTGCTGCTGCAGGGTGATTGCTGGCTCATCCGGAAGCTATCTGTGCAGCAGGGAGGGGGGAGCACTGGGGGGAGGGGGGCTAAACAGGGTCTGGGAACGCTGTGTGTGTGAGTGCGCGCACTGGAGGATGTGGTGGGGAAAGAGGGGACAGGGAAATCCCAGATGCTTAGAAGGCTTTACTAAAAGCCACCTTCAGAGTGTTTCCGTTTTGCCCAGAGACAAGTTTGTGCTGGAGAGAGGCCCTCACAGGGAGGTGCTCAGGCTGCGACTCGCCCTGTGAGAAAGGAGGCTCAGGAGTCCCTCAGCGGAAGGAGGGGGGACAGTGGGAGAGGCTGAGTCCACCCCTGCCTATGCCCTCTCAGATTGATGACGCTTACACAGAATCTGAAACCTCCCTGGAGAGATAACACACCCCTCTTGTTTGGGCCCATCCCCACCCTTCAGGCAGGATGATTTGTTTCAGGTTTAATCCGGATTCCTCATTTGCCCACACAGCCTCTCTGTCCAGGGTGAAAATAT